ACAAGAAACACAAACTAGTCAAACCACATTAAAAGCTTTATAAAATATTTTAGTACATTCATAGCGATATTCTTTTTTCGAACGGTAAACAAACTACAAACAAACCAAGTCGCCATGTTGAAATTATGTCACAGGGGCAACTTGGACAACAAAATCTTGTCCGACTTCAACGTCATAAAAGAGGCGTGTTTCCGACGGGAAGTGACGTTTTTCGTGACGTTTCGTGACGTTTTCATCCGAGTTCCGACTTGGAGAGAAATAATCGAATGCACCATTAAATAAACCAAACTAATAAGGATAACTGGAAACAGCTGTTAACCTCATGTGGATTCCCAGTGTTTAACGAGGGGGGCATGGCACAGGAGGATCGGCAGGGTCGGGGTGCGACAGTGATATTTTTTTTCTTCCTAGTTGGATATGAGAACACACTGACACACACTTTTCTAAATAATCTTGGAAAGTGACTTGAAAAACTGGAGATGATCTTAGGTTTGAAAATGAAGTCACATGCACAAAGTTTGGTTGTGTGGCCACATTTATTTTGTACTTAAAATGCAGAGATTTGGTTGCAAAATTTGATATTACTAAGAACCCTGCTTTCTACCCCATCAAGCTTACAGGTAAAGTGAGAAAACGAGACCCTTTATCTTCCTGACCTCAGCAGCCCACCGTGGCTACAGCTGTGTCCTCACTGACAGGGGTCTCACATTTCGCCACCCAAGCAAGACATCCTGTAAGGGGGTTTCTTAAGAAATCAGCAGGAACAAAGATTGATCTGGAAGCTCTGAGTGATCTTTGTTGAGAGAGAAGACATTTTGTTTTCTGAGCAAAGCCTTCCCACTTATTTGTTCATGGGAGTTCTGGCAGAAAAAGAAACCCATCAGCCAACTCCAAAAGATTCGGGCTCCACTGGAGACCCCAATGGGAGTTTATTGCGCAGAATCTCTCTATACACATCCTCTATACACATCCTCTATACACATCCTAGACATTCATAGAGTATAGAGGCCTGACATTGGGTGGGTTGGTTTTCAGTCAGGCTGAGTTAGATTGGCTTATTTGGTGGCTAAAGTGCCCTGTAATGTGCACCAGCTGATGCATGTTTCCTCTCTTAAAGGCCTGCGATAATGCAACGGTAACAGACCCCCATCTGTACACCAAGGCTTGTAGTATTCAGCTAAACCCCTTGTCAGTGTGCCAATGTGCATTTTTAGCAGATTCAGAAATCAGCTGGGCCTTGAAATTGGCTTCACTCACATTTTTGTTATTCTCCACAGACACTGAGCTTTACCGAAAAATAAGGGTTATTTCCAAAAGCTCTGCTCTACCCACCTGTAGTCACTGGAAGCCTGGCGATGTACAGCACTGGAACAGAACAAAGTGCATCCAACTGGCAGTGGGAAGAAGAGCCCGAATATGGCATGCCCGAGCGAGCACACATCTTTTGTTTTGCATAGAGGAAGCACTAAAATGTATTGCAAAAATTTAAATTCGTCATCCACTGCTGCTAATCATGACTCACTCCTGGGGAACGTTAAACAGGGGACTTTGAAGAGACCACACCTAGCTGCTCTGCTATTGGACGCGTCCACGTCACATTACACATCACACATCACATCACATATTATTGTGACTACCAGTTGAAGATGGCCATTCAGTCATTCAGATAAATATACTGTTTCTTGGCAGGAGTTTTAAAAATCTTTGTTCCTTTAAGGAGTTTGATGAATATGAATGAGTTCCCTCTTTTCCCTGTGTTTTACGAAGTGGAGGATAATGGCTCTAACAATTAAACTCATCAAGGCTGTGAGCTGAAAGCACTATGGTCTTCGTCAGCAGTGGGATGAGCTTAATCTCATGTGAATAACGAGCAGGGCAGGTCGGGGGCACGTTTTTTCTAGCCAGGGAGGAAATTAAATGAGATGAACCCCTTTTTTTGACTACAGAAAATGGAGCCATTTTGTTTAAGTCTTGGATTTTCTGTTTTTCCGAACAACCTAACAGAAATGTTAATCCTCCGGATCTCCAGATCAACTGAGGCCTGTTTCACGAAGCAGGGGATTGTCGTTTAACCGGATAACTTGTTGAATTTAAGGTAGTCTGGGCTAAATGTAAGTGAATGAAGATGGTCCATTTAGCCCAGACTACCTTAAATCTGAGAAGTTATCTGGCTAAGCAAGAAATCCAGCTTCATAAAACATGATCCAGGCCCCTGGTCTATTTTGACCCCTCTGCCCCCCTCTTGTAGCACTACATGCATGTTTCAGCATTATACACTCATTTTTTATTGATTTGGGGGGTAATATTTTGTGTGATGGTGGGGGAGGCATATTTCAAGAAGCACACGTGGGAATGCAAGCACCTCTCTGGGTGGGTCGTTCCTGATCTTTCATCCCCCCCCAATTTCATTTGTTTCTTTCATTGTGTTGTAACACTTTCCACAGTGTATAACATCATTTGCCATCATGGCCCTGCTGGGTGATGCTGTTCCTCATGCTACGGCATAGTCATGCCTGGAAGGGCCGTACACAAAAAGAAATGCACTAAATACATAGTCACAGGGGCTTACTCATTAACTATCTCCATGCGTCTTGGTAGCAAGGACACAGTATGGATTTGGGCTGACAATGATTAATCCTTCTCTTTATGTTGTCGGACCGGTTTCAGGTAGCCCCCTGTGTTTCTGGCTAACTGAGCCTGGAGTTATTGGTTCAGTGCGTATTGGAGGTACTTCCATTTCAAATGGGTGGACAAGGGCCCCCCTGGGTGGGAGGAATAATTCCTCAAAACAGAGGAAATCCCTTTGTGCTTTTTGTTTAGGGCTCCCAGGAGCAGAGCATCCTTTGTAGCTGAATTAGCTGGAATAAAAACTGTCAAATGTCTGCAAGGCTGCTATAATGTTTCTATACAATATATTGCTAATATAGGGATTCTCTCAGTTACTGGGGATTACAGGAAGTGAGGCTTCTCTCTGACAAACAGAGTTTCGTTGTGGCCCGGTGGCGTGGCTCAGAAGAGCAGTAGGGCCTTAAGATGAGTGATAAGTGGGAGGCAAAAACAAAATGAGAAGGCAAATATAAACAATAAATATTCAACCATAGGCATATCGATGTGAAATAACGCACTTTTTTTACACCATGCACTCATGCTGTACTATTTTTTTGGTTTGGTGGTTCTTATTTTTTTTTGTTTATATATAACCTGTTTAATATGGGGGACCAGATGTGAATAACAATGTTTCTGGTATAAAACAATGATTTGGTCAACCAGCTACAAGGATTTCTAAAGGCATTGTTAATCCTTTGTTGCGGTTTTATCTGGGAGTTGCAGTTTGGGGGCACTGTCAGTAGATGGCAGTCATATTACAAAATTCGGCAATCCGGTGTCTCGATACAGTACGACTCGCAGTGCACCTGAGTCGCAAACTCCACAGTAAACAAAGAGCCATGTAAACGACAGTGAACGGAAAAAACTGATTCTGCTGTGCAAGGTCAGAGAACGGAAATGAGGTGTTGCTTGCAGATTGCATTTTGCCGTCGATTGTTTATCATTCTGCGGTAATGAGACGCGAGAGGCTGGAGGGAGACTGTGGCCCAGTTTGTGTGCAGAGAAAGGATGACTTGTACTTGAGTAGAGGACGAGGTTGCCTGGAGGTGCCGCTGTCGATGTAAGGCACGGGTACGCCTGGTTCGTAAGCTGATGTTTGTTCTCGCCTCAGACACCTTGTGGGATACTTCCAGCTAGATGTTTCTTTATTCTATATTAAAGCCCAGGAAACAGCCAGCCGTAGAAGAGACAGGTTCCTCCTTTGTGACTGTAACATAACCCCCTCCCCAAACACATACAACATAGCGACCAGCGGCAGTGTTCCCCAGCACTGTAAATCATGCATTTGCCAGGGGCCGCAGAGGTTTGGGGCCCCCTGTTGGCCACAAGCAGTCACCACAGTAGTGACTGTGGCCCCAAAGTGACTTTTCAAGTGGGGCCCCATAAACAATAAACCCGCCTCTGGTGACACATCACCACTTGTGTCAGAATAGTGTGCCAAGCATTTCACCGCTGGGTGAATCAGTGCAGTGTGTTCGTAAAAAGATATGGTGACAAAACCCACCGGGGGAAGCGGACCGAGGCTTAGAGGGGGCTGAGAATGCGTCCGTCACATGACATTCAGACGCCGCCATTGCGTGTCCCCTTCCCACATTCGGTCTTGCTTGCCCCCACGTTCGCTCAGCATGCTGGGAAAGTGAGAATATGCTTGCGGCTGGCACTCGTCAGGCTTCTCTACTCCATTTTAGACTCCATCGCGAAATGATGGTAAGTGCTTAGTCCCCTGTTGTGTGGACGTGTCAGCATGAGAAGTCAGCTGGCAGCAACACCTTTGCCTGTCAGCCAGCGGAGGGCGACCTGGAGCAGCTGGGCCAGAGGACGGGCCGGAAATCATCACTTTGATGGGGGCCGATTTGGACGCTGTTCCGAGACGGGCTTGTGCTCGTGTTTTGGCAAGGGGTGGGAGATTTGCGGTGCATCGTTTGGCTACCAGGGAAGGCGAACGCGGCATTTTCCCCTGGAACTGCACTCTAAACAAATTACATAAATTACAGCAGCCAGATGGGGCTGGGGAATCAATAAGCCACTTACAGATGTGTAAACAATCTGCCAAAGTAGTCCTTCCCCTACCCACTGGGTGGTGCTTTTCTTCAAGACACCTTGAATGCTGGGTTAACGAATTGCTCCATCATTCTTTATTGTAAAAACAGAATTCTTGAAAAATGCATTTCAGGTATCTGGGTGTCAGAAGTCAAGGTTCCAGCATGCATGCATAAAAGCCTTTGATGTGATCGTGCTGTGCGTTTGTATTTAGCTTGCCGGTCTATTTGTTCTTAGATCACGGAGAGTCTGCTGTGGAACCCTGATACTAGATGAAAGCGGCCCTGTAATATTTTATTAAATATATCTATCGTCAAGAATGATTTATTGCTTATTTCCTCTGGCTATTCGCTTTAAAGCCTTTTGTATCATTTACTTTCGGTACCATCTGCGATTTGGATATGCAAATAGGCCAGGCGTAAACTGAACATGTATATATTTCACATGCTGGGGATTTGAGCAGAATATGCATTTGTTATAATTCTCCCCGGTGATGGCGGGAAGGTACTAGCCTGACCGGTCGGCCAGTGATGGACGCCAGCGGCGGTGGGGGGGGGGGGGCTCGTTCCACAGTGCCGAGCATTAGCTGCGGCTGCTGGCAGCCAAACAAGGGTCTGCAGGCATGAATTGTGGGGGGGCACGGAATGTGAGGTAGGGAGGTTTTGAACACACATCCTGTCCCTCCATGGTCTGCCCCCCTGGGAAGCTATTCCATGCCAGCAGTGTGGCTTAACGACAAACAGCATTATTTATCAGCACCCCCACCCCCAACAATTTCCATGGGGGATGGGGCTGGATTTGATGCCGTTTACTTTGCTGGTTTTTATGGCCCTGACCATACCTGAAGTAGTGAATGGGCACTTCACAGCTATAATGTTTCCAATTCTCTTGAAAAGAAAAAGATGCTGGGAAATGAGAATATTCCAGATCAAATCCCTGGCTCTGGAGTCAGCTGACCTGGCGCAGTGTGGTCTGAAGGAAGCCTTGGGGTCCGGTGGTCTCCTGTGGCTGCAGACGGCTGCGGTCCGTATTCACGCACCCCTTGCCGTTACAGCGCTCACAGCGGGGGATGAGGGCAGTGATGAAGCCCCAGAGTGACTTTGGGGTCGGAGGCTGTGATTGGTCAGCAGCCTCTAATTTCCAGCAAAAAGTTTGAAGGATTTGTTTGGCCTGTGCAGGCAACTTAGACCCACATTTTTGGGTATTTGGCCTGAGAACACTTGAAATTATCAACGTAAACTGGCCATCAAACTCGCTTTATGTTCATATCACATTTGAGATGTAGGCATTACACAGCACAGACTCGGCATGAGGAAATTCATTATCTCCCTTCGTTTCCATCTTTTCAGCTGTCCACCTTAGTTAGATTTTATTTGCAAATGTGTTTCCTGCAAGAAAACCTGCGTGGGTGGGTGTGTTATTCAGTAACCACTGCAATTGAGATGCTAATGTTTTATTTCAGCCCCACATTAATCTGGAAATATGGGGAGATTGCTTGATGATTTTATCCAAAGCAACATACAAAGTAAAAACAACATTAGCATTATAATAATCAGTTCTGCCTGTCGGGTTTCTGTTGTGGGCGCCTGGATGACGAAAAGTTCTATGCCATCCTTTGCGGGACGCTGCTTTTCTCTGGCTTCCTTTACGGGACGCTGCGTTTCTGTGCCATCCTTTGCGGGACGCTGCTTTTCTCTGGCTTCCTTTACGAGGCGCTGCGTTTCTGTGCCACCCTTTGTGGGATGCTGCGTTTCTGTGCCACCCTTTGCGGGGCGCTGCGTTTCTGTGCCATCCTTTACGGGACGCTGCGTTTCTCTGCCACCCTTTGCGGGACGCTGCGTTTCTGTGCCACCCTTTGCGGGACGCTGCGTTTCTCTACCATCCTTTACGGGACGCTGCGTTTCTCTGCCACCCTTTGCGGGACCCTGCGTTTCTGTGCCATCCTTTGCGGGGCGCTGCGTTTCTGTGCCATCCTTTGCGGGGCGCTGCGTTTCTGTGCCATCCTTTGCGGGGCGCTGCGTTTCTCTGCCATCCTTTGCGGGGCGCTGCGTTTCTCTGCCATCCTTTGCGGGGCGCTGCGTTTCTCTGGCATCCTTTGCGGGGCGCTGCGTTTCTCTGCCACCCTTTGCGGGACGCTGCGTTTCTCTGCCACCCTTTACGGGACGCTGCGTTTCTGTGCCATCCTTTACGGGACGCTACGTTTCTGTGCCATCCTTTGCGGGGCGCTGCGTTTCTCTGCCACCCTTTGCGGGGCGCTGCGTTTCTCTGCCACCCTTTGCGGGGCGCTGCGTTTCTCTGCCACCCTTTGCGGGACGCTGCGTTTCTGTGCCATCCTTTACGGGACGCTGCGTTTCTCTGCCACCCTTTACGGGACGCTGCGTTTCTCTGCCATCCTTTACGGGACGCTGCGTTTCTCTGCCATCCTTTACGGGACGCTACGTTTCTGTGCCATCCTTTACGGGACGCTGCGTTTCTCTGCCATCCTTTACGGGACGCTACGTTTCTCTGCCATCCTTTACGGGACGCTACGTTTCTGTGCCATCCTTTGCGGGACGCTGCGTTTCTCTGCCATCCTTTACGGGACGCTGCGTTTCTGTGCCATCCTTTGCGGGACGCTGCGTTCCTGTGCCATCCTTTACGGGACACTGCATTTCTCTGCCACCCTTTACGGGA